GGCCCTTCCCTCCCCTCCCTGCCGCTCTGACCACTGCTCCCAGCTGGGCTCTGACGGCACAGGGGCTAGGGGCCCTGAGGATCCTCATGGGACAGACAGGGGTCACTTCACCTTCAGCACCGTCCCCATGCCTCCAGCATCCTTACTGGGAGCACACACTTTGGTTATCTTGTGTTTCTCATTGGTGCCTCTCCTCTCTGTCCTCCAGTGGAAGGTCCCTACCTTGTCATCATTGAGCAGCCAAAGCAGGTAAGGATGTCACCCAGGTAGGGGCAGGTGTAGCTGTCACTTCCTGCTCTCATGGTGTCAGCTTTGGACCACCCTTGGCTGACCACCTCTTTGCCTCCGCAGCGGGGGTTCCGGTTTCGGTATGGCTGCGAGGGGCCTTCGCATGGGGGGCTGCCGGGAGCATCCAGCGAGAAGGGGCGCAAGACCTATCCCACCGTCAAGGTGAGCGCTGTCCTGGGTAGGGGACAGGACAATATCTTCAGCCACTCTACATGGGCACTGGCAGGGTGCCTTGAGGGAAGGACAGGAAACGTATATTAAGCTCTGTGTGTTTCGTGGCACTGGAGTCATGGGAGGGCTGCAGCAGGAGGGGTGGTGGCCATGGGGAAGGGTAGCAGGGGTTTGTGGAGAGTCCTGCAGGCTGCCAGGGTGTTGTACCTGACTCCCGTCTCCTTTCTCCCCACAGATTTGCAACTTCACAGGGATGGCCCGGATCGAGGTGGACCTGGTGACACACAGCGATCCTCCCCGTGTGCACGCCCACAGCCTGGTGGGCAAGCAGTGCAATGAGGCTGGCAACTGTGTCGCGATCGTGGGACCTAAGGACATGACAGCTCAGTACGTGTGAAGGGGATCCAAGGCGGCCTCTTGCCTCTGTGGGGTGGCTGGGGGGCTATCTGCAGCTTACAGGCTGGGGAGAAGAGCGGGGTTAGTGCATCCAGGAGCTGGGGTTGCTGGATGGGGCCAGAAGTGGCTTTAGACAAGGTCATTGGTACAGGCTGTGCCCTGAGCATTTTGCCCAGCTCTGGGTCCAGCATGTGCAGCTTGTTTTGGGCTTCTGTCCTCAAGGTTGCCGCTCCCAAGCTCTGCAGATGACTTCTGTAGCCCAACCGAGTCGTGGGGTTATTTGGCAGCTGCTGTGGTGGCTTTTACAAACCCAGCCCTGGCCGCTGGCTCAGCCTGCTCTCATTGGCCTCCCTCTGGCCTCCAGCCCTCCTGGTCCTCCTCTTTGGACTTGTCACCTGTGGGAGCATGGAGCTTCCTGGCCATCTCTTTTCTGGGCTCCTTTCCTCTCCTCTGGGGTTGCTCCTCTTACTCCCTGCACATGCTGACCTCCCGCTGCCCGAGCACACCGCTCTGTGCTTTGCTTAGCTTCTTCCTGTCCATGGGAGCCCGTGTGCCCCCTGAGCCAGCTTCTACCAGCCCTAGCAATTCCAGATCCCAGCAGGATCCCTCTTCTGCTCCAGGTTCAGCAACCTGGGTGTGCTCCATGTCACCAAGAAGAATATGATGGAGATCATGAAGGAAAAGCTGAAGCAGCAGAAGATGCGCAACAGGAGCCACACACTGACAGGTGAGGACAGCCTGGGGGCTCAGTGGGACTTGGCACCCCAGAGTGACAGCTGGGGGTTGGGTTTAGCATGGGGCTGGGGGAGGCAGTGGGGGGGACCTGGAGCCCCATCCCCTCACTTGGCCTGACAGTATCTCTCCCTGCCCCAGCAGAAGCGGAGCTGCATGAGATTGAGCTGGAGGCGAAGGAGCTGAAGAAGGTGATGGACCTGAGCATCGTGCGGTTGCGCTTCACCGCCTACCTTCGCGACAGCAGTGGGAACTTCACACTGGCCCTCCAGCCTGTCATCTCAGACCCCATCCACGACAGCAGTGAGCATGGGGCCAGGCCAGGGAGGGGATGGGGCAGGATGGGGATGCTCTGTCTGCCACAGTGGCTCTCAGCAGCTCTTCTTGCCTTGCAGAGTCCCCAGGAGCTTCCAACCTGAAGATCTCGCGGATGGATAAGACAGCAGGTTCTGTGCGGGGCGGGGACGAGGTCTACTTGCTGTGTGATAAAGTTCAGAAAGGTAAAAGCCACTAAAACGCTGTCCCCTCCAGCAAAAACCTTCTGGAGGGCCTGCAGCAGGAGAGATCTGGTAGCCCTTGGTAGCCAGGGGTCTGTGTCCCTGGAGCCTGACCCGGGCAGGGAGACAGGCAGTGCCAGCATCCCTTCTCTCCCCAGATGATATCGAGGTGCGTTTCTACGAAGATGACGAGAACGGCTGGCAGG